ATACTTAAGAAAAAAGAAAATAGATATAATCACTGTATGTTATAATCAAAAAGAGAAGAGATTCACTGCACATATCTGAGAAACTAGTCACATCCAAATACATTTAAGATTTAGGCAAAGTGAAGTGTCCTTGCACTGCTACTGTAGGCCCAATAACTTGCACAATCCTAAAATTAGTATATTAAACAAACCTTCAAAGTGCAGTATTAAAGGACTTACCAAGAAGTGAATAGAAAGCAGGTTGATTTTAAGATTATGAGGTCAATTGATGCAGTTTTGTTTTGACAATTTCTGATATATTACATTACATCATATCATAAATGATACAAGGATCAAAATGTTGTGGATTTTACTACCTCTTCTAAATACCCGGTTAACTGATCTGATAGTACTGAATAATTAATATTTAACATTTATTTTCTCAATTCTTTAGTTATCTTGTTTACTAAATCTAACACGTTTAGATTGAGAGACAGTAAAAAGAATGAAACATGTCTGTTAAGATGATTCTGCTTTAGCACCGATCTGACATTTGATTTATCGGTGATACTTACTCTGTCTGCTGGTGTTTGGTAACACCTCTGTGTCAAATTACGGAAGATGCAATCAGCAAATACTCCTTAGATTCTTTTAGCTGATGAGTTGTCATTTTTCTTGCAACTATAGGAAGTTGAGCTCAGACCTGTTTTTTCTTTTTCCCCTTATACCTTGTGTGCATTAACTGAAAATATTGGGCTTGCTGCACCAAGCTCAAAATAGAATTGAACTTTGTACTCACTAGGACACAAAACATGTGTCCTCCTGAAACATCATTATAAATAGCTGCTATCGAGTGGTGAAGCCTCAGTCTCATTAACACAGTCTAGTCAATATGGAGCTCTAGAATGACAGAAAACAGAGAGGGAAGTTTGCTTGGGGCCACATGGCATTAGTAGTGGTGCAATGCATGAAGTTCAATATATTTTCAGACATGCAGTGACCCAAAACAGTGAGGATTCACTCATTGATTTCTGAGAAAAATCAGTTCAGCTAGACACAATGGGGATTTTGGAATGAGGATCATCGTATATTAGTCACCTTTTAAGACAAACGTTTGTCAAAGTTTCCAGGAACCAACCGTTTCAACTTTGCTCCGTTTTGTCTTAATAATCCTACAGTGGTATTTTGTCTGATGACTAAACAGGAATTATTGCAAAAGTAAAAGAGAACATGCAATTGGTTTTCCCACATTATGCAAACAACAATCTGAAAAGTGTGGAATATATTTCTATTCAGCACCACTGAGC